GATCCATGAAGGAGATTAGCCTTTAACCTTCTCAACCAGGGCACTGCTGTTACTTAAATTTTTACTTTTTTAGTGGGCTTTTCATATGTCTGCTGCTTAGATTTTTCTCTGTTCTGGATTGAATTGGTTCCTGTTGTTGATCAACTGTTATGTTACCTGCTTTGGGCATCTCTACATTGGAAGACAAATGCAACACAGAGACACACACATGGATAAATAACATAAAAGCTTTCTAAATAATAAATATACTTTTATTAATGCAATCATAATTAACTATTCCATGTTGTGGAGTGGACAAAGATATCTATGGATTGGTTCTGAGTCTGATCTAGCTAAAATTAATCCAATTGAAACCAATTGAACCCATTAAGTCAGTTGTCATTAAATCCCATTGCACAAGGTGGGAGACAGCCATGACTGACTCAAGCTGATTTGCAGACTATCTGTTTGGTAAAGTGTTGTGTGCTAGAGAGCAAACTGGTATGGATAAAGTAGAGGGTGACATTTCTCTCTCTCTCCCATATCATTTGAACCCAGGGTCATCCCATGAAACTAATTGGTGGGAGGGTTAGGACAGATAAAAGGAAGTATTCACACAACTTATAGCTGATCTATGAATTTTGCTGCCTCAGGAAGTGGTGATGGCTGCGAATCTGGATGGATTTAAAAGGGAATTGGACAGAGGAGGCTATCAGTGCTGGCTATGTGCTGCCTCCTTTACCAGAGGGAGCATGCCTGCATACACCACAAAGGTCTTACACCCATCCTGCCTGAGGGATCCTGTGGACATCTGTACAAGACCAGTACAAGGTTGATGGGTTCCACTAGAACCGGAACAGAACTACTGCTGATGCTAACATCATATTTAAGATGACTTATTCCTAGAAGATGAAAATGAAAGTGACTTTGATTGCTCAAATGTAGATGTTTAGATGATAAGCTATGTGTATGATGAAATATGGTAGCAAATCAAAAGAGGCTTATGTACCGTAGTCTAAGATGTGTGGGCCAGAGACATCTGAGAAGGTGCATAGGTGTTTCTATACAAATGCTAGAAATCTCCAAACCAAAATTGGCAGCTTGGAATGCCTGGTTTTAAGAGAACCTAGATATAGTGGACATGAAGAAAAATGGGAAAACTGGTGGTTTATGGTCATTGTTGGTTATAAACTGCATAGGATGGATAGGGAAAGGTGCACTGGAGGAGGTGTTGCTTTGAACATCAAAGAAAGGATACTGTTGAGCAAACTTAGGAACCTGAAAGGGTTTATCTTCCACATAAATGCTGTGCATGACAGTACCAGGCTCCAAAATTTAGTACTAGTACTAGGGAAAAGCTATTGTACCAAAGGCCATAACACTCAGGGTGCTGTTGAGTTGGAACAAAATTAGGGAAGCATCCAAATGAGAAAGGTTTGTAATAGTGCCTGACTTCAATTATCCCCATATTGACTGAATTAAATGCATGTTCCAGTCCAAAGAGGTTAAATTTCTCAGTGTACTAAACAACTCTGCCATGGAACTGTTGGTTATGGAACTAACCAAAGGTGTGGCAACCCTGGATTAAATCATAAGTATTATCACCCAGAAGAAGACGCAGGTGGCACAGTGGTTTAAAGTGCTGAGCCACTAGTCTTGTCAATTGAAATGTTGGCAGTTCGAATCTGTGTGTTGGGGTGAGCTACCGCTGCTTTGCCCCAGCTCTAGCTGTTTGAAAGCATGCAATTGCAAGTAGATAAACAGGTACCACTTTGGTGGGAAGTAACAGTATTGTGTGCATATTGGCGTTTAGGCATGCCGGCCACATGACTATGGAAACTGCAGACAAATGCTGGCTCCCTCAGCTAAGAAACAGAGATGAGCACCAATTGGACATGACTGGGTTTAATGTCATGGGGAAACCTTTACCTTTACCTTAGTATCACCCAGAACCCAGTATTAGATGTGGGAGATTTCTATGCCTCACACATACAGGTCCTGCACTTGCATGGATCCAGTTACTGGGGATAAGGTGCAGGTGAGAGAATTTTGGGAACCCCTTCCCTACTAAAGCAGAAAGATACATCAGAGAAACTCCCACCCATTCCCTCCGTTCTTCAACCACTTTGCGGTAACTCAGCAGGTTCTTTTTGATTATTGGTTCTAGCATTCTCAGTGTCTCTTCCCCTCATGATTTCTCTTTAATCTGTAACATACTGTAACCTCATTTTCTTTGCTCTTGCTCTTGAAACAATTGGAAATAGTTAATGCAATGCTATCAGATTTAATGGCAAATGGAAAATTACCGAGGAAGTCATAATGGACTTCAGAAAAGGAAAATTCTTTAAAATGAGGGATCTGGTGACAAGGAGGAGTCCATAGAGTAAAATCCCTTCAAAATGCTTGAAGGTTACTTAAAACCATAATAAGAGAGGCATATCTAGAATGTGTATCTGTTATGCCAGGCAGGATAATCGGAAAATATACCTCAGAAGGAAGTGATTGCCCTCTGAGTACTTTCTGAGGATTGGGTTCTTTTGTTGGCATTTAACATGTGCTGTCAGAAGGGAATACACTCTAGCCTTGCATTCACACACACACAACATTTAGACAATAAAGTATATTCAAATGAAAATATAGAGGTGGTACAAGTTTTTAACCTAACATTATCCAGGTAGCAAATATTCTTGTAACATCCCAGTCTTACTCTATATTTCCAAAGAGGTGATACGCCTCCTGCCTAATAGTCTTAAAGATAAAGAGAAGCCAATAGAAAGGAAGGAAGGAAGTCCAAGTTTGCTACTTGTCTGTTACAGAAGTTCCTTACATGGACAGGAAGGGTGCAAGTGTTCCACATTACAGGCAGGTCTGCATTCAGAGCTTTCCCGCTTCCATTTTCTAATTTCCTGTTTTTTTAATTCTCTTTCACTCTGTACTTGCTTCTGTGGGGATGGGAAGGTTCCCATTGTTTCTCAGAGTTATGCAAATTACTTAATGGGTACTTGATTACTGTTGATGACTGAAACTGTTACTGTCTGTTTTGTGACCATATCTGTTCTCTATGGGGAAAAGTTGTATTCTTTATATGTGTTTGCTGATTGATACTCCTGAACACCTCCTCTACCTTACTCACCACATCCCAGGTCTTGGGATCCTGCCCTTGTGGTGCTTGGTATACAAACAATATTGATATTAATTATATACACATACTGTATATCACAGGCTAGGAAAGTTAGCAACAAGTCCAAGGGGCCACCAATAGTCAAAGAAGCTATTGGAGAATAGTAGATTTCCTTCAGAAAATGGAACTCTTGCCCAAAATAGGAAAACAAAAGGAAGTACAAGCTTGTGTAAAGGAGGTGCAAACAGATAGTAAGAGATGCAAAAAAGCATTCTGAAAAGCATATTGCTAACAACATCAAGATCAAAATTAAAGAATTATTTAAATATATTAGAGGCAAGAAACCTCTTGTAAGAAACCTACTGCCCTCTAGTTAGGCAGTAGAACCACTTGAGAATAATGGAGTTAAGCAAATACTAAACGAGATTGCAAAGAAGCTGGATTATTTTCATCTATCTTCAGTACAGAAGTTATACGTCAGATACTTGTGTCTAGAAAACTAGGCCAACAGTGGTAACAAAGATGTAGTTTTCTAAAATGGTATCCATCCTATAATTCTTAAAGAACTCAAATATGATATTGCTGATTTTCTAACAAAAAATGTAACATTTCCCTGAGATCAGCCTTTGTAGCACAGGGCTGGAGAAAGGCCAATGTAATACCATTTTTTAAAAGTGATCCAGGGAATCCAGGAAACTACAGGCAAACCAGCTTAACATTTGTTCTGCATGATTTAGTTGAAAGCATTATTAAAGACAAAATTAGTAATCATATAGAAAGAGAAGCCTTGCTGAGAAAGAATAACCATGGCTTCTGCAAAGGTAAGTCCTGTCAGACTAACCTTTTAATGTTCTTTGAGAGTGTGGATAGGATAGGAGTGATTCAACACATACTTGGACTACTAAAATTCTATTTGCAAACCCCTCACCAAAGGCACTCAAGCAAACTTAGCAGTCATGGAATAAAAGGACAGACATTCCTATGGATCAGTAACCAATTAAAGGACAGAAAGCAGAAATAAGAATAAATGGTAAATTATCCCAACTGAAGGAAGTACACAGTGGAATCCCACAGGGATCTATATTGGGACAAATGCTTTACCACTTGTTCATAAATAATGCGGAATTAGGAGTAAACACTGAAGTGGTCACTGTTTACTTTGGTTAAAATAAAATGGGGGAAATTGGCATTGTTATATGTAAATTAAAAATGTTAAATGCAGTTCAGTGTAAGCAAGTGTAAAGTGATGCATGGTGGGACAAAAAATTCCAGCTCCAAGTCTAAGTTGATGGAATCTGAGTTAACAGTAAAGTGCTTTGTTTATCTTGTCTCTCAGTAACTCTGAAATGTTAAATGCTCGATTAATGAGGAATCTCAAAAGACTTAAATACAAAATATATCCAAGCTTTATCCCTGTTTGTATCTGGGATTAATTCCCAGTGGATTTGTTCACATGTCCAAACAGAAAAGAAGTGGACCGATCCATCCAGATATTTTGGATTGGCTATTTGCCATCATAGCCGTTTGTCTCCCATGACCATTTGCCATACCAGCTAGTGATGAAAAGCGTTGTACTCTGTACTTTGAAAGTACCTGGTAGAATCCCTGTAGCTGCCAAAGAAAGCCTGATGTTGACTCAGTGCCTCAAGATGGTAGGAAAGAAGAGGCTGCTAAATGCCAGTGTGAAAAGCAGTGCACAGTATCAAGGCCATCAAAAATACTTTTGAAAATTAAAATTTAGTAAGATCATAACAACTAATTCCTAGAGCAGGACACTGACAAGATGATAAAAAACCATTGTGCTGGTTGTTCAAGGCAGATGCAGCAGTGTTGAAAAGGTTTGTAGGATTAATTTTCCCTCAATAGTAAAAAGCCTCAAATATGTATATCCTTTTGGCAGAAAGAAGAGAAAACTTCACAAGAAAAAAGAGCTCCTGTTAAGCAAGAAGTGTCACTCTTAGATCTGGATGACTGTAAGTACTTCAGATAGTTGCCCCTTCTCATGCTAATTCTATGACCCTGAAAGTTAATTAAATAATCAAATTATGAAAAGCTTAAAGTATTACTGTTTGTCTCATTTATGTATAGTTGAATATGTGCATGCATTTTATGTAATGTATGTATCAAATTGTACAAAAGAATAAGATTTTTAAAGAGCCTAGATAATTTAATTGAATCTCTGAAAAATTGTTTAAAAGCTTTCAATTTTGATCAAACATAGTCATGTGCTCGTTGTAAAACTTTTATATATTATATATGTAATATATAATACTTGTGTGTATTGTACATATATTTGTTACATTATATTTAACATATATGTCATTTATATGTTTTTAAAAATGAATAGATTAATAAGGCAAGTAGTAATTTAATACATAAGGAAGTAACTTAAGCTTTTCATGCAGTAGTGGGACCCATAGCTAGTTCAATGGGAAGTTAATGGCTGGTAAAGCAACCCAGAATTAGTGTAAAGAGCAAGGTAGGTCACTGGAGCTGAAAGAAGAGAGTGCTTTTGACCTATCCCTATCTGGAAACAAGTGTTTCTACTCATTTCCATGGTTTCTTTATGTAGTGCTACTGAACCAACATGATCAGAACCCCCATACCATATTGAATAGTGTCCAATATAGCTGAAAAACATTCAGAAAGATTTGGAGGGTTTTGAGAGGGGCAGTTGAGTTTAAAAAAAAATAATTGTAAATCCCTTTCTGATTGGGAGTATGGAAATATTACTAGTTACAAATATAAGCAGAATTTGAACAGCTTCAAAAGTAGGGATGCTATTCTTAAAACTATGGGTTTGATACAAGCTTAGCTTACAGAAAACACTGTTGATTAAAAAAAGACATTTGCTAGCCTCCGTCTTACAGAACAATCTCCCACAGTGTTCCAATCTTTTGAAGCAGATTTTCAGAGGCTTGAAAGATTGCAGGGTCACCTGCCTACCTTCTGCTACCAGAAGTGTTCCCTAAGTGGAATACCACTCAGGGCGTTCTCCTGCCAGTAAGGACAATGTATGAATGCATGCTGTATATTTTGAAAATATCTGATAATTCCAGTTCTAAACTCTCAACATATATTTTGTCTCAATTTCTAAAAATAGTTTTCTTCTGTAGTCGTGCAACAAAACCCTAACCTTGAAAAAATAGTCAAATAATATATGAACATCAATGTCCCTTAGTTTACTTTCAATTGGGAAATCTTGTTTCCACGTTATGAAGCATTTTGCTCCTTATTTTGTTATACAGTGGAAAGTATTCAGTAGAACAATTAAAGTCAGAGGAATATGACAGTGGGACCAGTTGCCAAGAGAGGTTGTGGGCTCTCCCACATTAGTGACATTCAAGGTGAAACAGGACAGTCATCTGAATGAGATGCTGTTACTTCGTGTCCTGCACCAGCAGGAGCTTCAACCCTTCCTGACCCATTCTGACCATACTATTCTATGAATCTTAGTTTTGAAATGTTTGAATGTGAGATATTACAGAACCACAATATCACAGTGCTTAACTGTTCTGTTTGTTTTCTACAGTCAATCCTGTATCAGCTCCAACAGCACTCCCTAAGCCAACTGTTCTCTCTCCCACTTTAACTGCTGATCTACAAGGTTTAAGTTTATCAAGTTCTTCGGTCATTAACGTAAGTGATTCTTTCATGGACTACTTCATCTTTCTAGCTCATTTGTTTTTTAAAGTGCACTTGCATCTTGATTCAAAATTAGCCTACAGGCTATTCAAACCTTCTTTCTAAACATGGATGAAAGACATTTATTTATTTGTTTGTTTGTTTGTTTGTTTGTTTGTTTAAAATATTTCTACCCCATCCTACATCCCAAGACAGCTTACAATAATTAGAACAATAAATAAACAACATACATAATACCAACAAAAAATAAAATGCGACTGTAAATATTGAAACCAGTTAAAATTCCTTAATCCTTAAAATAATGGGTAAATAAGAAGATTTTTACCCAGCACCGAAAGGAATATAAAGTCAGCGCCAGGTGAACCTCTCTGGGAACAGTATATTATGTATGATTTTTTAAAGTCTGTGCGTATATGATAATGTTTGTAGAATAAATATAGCTCTTTTGCTAATCACTTAGCTAACCTTTGGGCACTGATATCCTTCCTTATCTTGACCATTTATGAATTCTGGGCAAATGTTCTAATTGTGTAAATTAGTAGCACAGAGCTGTATTAGCTTCTTAGGAAAGGTATTCTTGAACCACCTCATTTTGAGAACAGAACTGTTAATCATTCTTCTGGAGTGTCTGTGTACTAAAATAAAGTCTGGACCTGGCACTAAAAGATGGTAGTATTGGCAACAAGCAGACCGCATATGGGAGAACATGTCACAGGGCAGTGGGGGAGGACACCACTGAAAATATTCTATCCTTTGGTGCTATTCTTGAAATATCCCTTGGAGCAAGCACTTTGAAGAGGACTGCAGATGCTGATTGCAATGTACAGGTAAGTTCATACTGCTTGTGGTGCTTCATCAGGTTCTGCAATCCTGAAATGCCTTGAACTGAGCTCAGAAATGCATAGGCAGCCAATGCAAGCAGGGCAGAATGGATGTTGTGTACTCTGACCTTCTGGCCATCACATTTTGCATTAGCTGCAGTTTCCAAACTGACTTCAGAGGCAGCCCTCCAGAGAGTACATTGCAGTAATCTAACCTGTAATCCAGCCTGGAATTTACTAAAGCATATACTACTCAAGATAATTTGTCCCAACCCAGATAGGGGTATACCTGTGCTACCAACCAAAGCTAGTAGAAGGGATTCCATGCCACTAAGACCACCTGAGCTTCTATTGACAAAGATGGCTCCAGGTCAATGAACTTGGTCCTTTGAGGGGAGTGCAACTACATCCAGAACAGGCTGTGCAACCTCAGTGCAGGTAGAGGAACCACCCATTAACATCACTTTGGTCTTGTCAAATTGAGATTTAGTACGTTACTCTTCATCCAGCTAATTGTTGCAGCCAGACTCAGAACTGTGTATCATCAACATACTGATGACAGCATACCCCAAAGCTCCTGATTATTCCATTCAGTGCTTTCACGTAGGAAATAAATAGCACAGGAGACAAAAATGGTGGAACCTCATACTAGAGAATCCATGAGACTGAGCAATATGAGCCATATTGGAGGGAAGCTACTGTAGTGCAGATCTTCCAGTTTAGACAATTGCCCTGGAAGGATGCTATGATCAATGGTAGTGAAAGCTTCTAAGAAACAAGGAGAATCAGTAGGGTCATACACTTTATCCCTCCCTGCCTGCCATAGGTCATCATTTAGGGCAACCAAAGCTGTTTGTGCACCAGAACTCTCTCTGAATCCCAACAGAAATAGATAATCAGTTTCATCCAAGAACATGTGGAGCTGTTTGGTGACTTCCCACTCAAAGACCTTGCCTGAGAAAGAATTATTTGCCACTGGCCTAAGTTGCTGAGATCTTCAGAGTCCAGGGAAGGTTTTTTCAGGTGCTTTTCAGGCACCCCGGGACCACTCCCTTACAGAAAAGAGGCATTAATCACCTGCCAGTTTTTCCTTCCCTTTCAATTTTAATGAGTCTGTTTAAAAATAGTAGGTGAAAATGATAGGCTACTACATAAAGGTTATACTTCTCCCTCCCTCCCTCTCCACCTCTCTCCACACATTTACACACACACACACACTTTAACCTAATATGTGCCTGAGATTCAAATACAAACTCTCAATATTACCCATATGTGAGACAGACTTTACCAAGACAGGATACAATTGCCAGACAAACCTAAATGGATACAGTAAAAGTAGATGAGAAAGCAACTTGTTTGGGGGCAACCAGGGCCATTGTGGATACATCATTTATCTAATGGTTTGTATTAATCTTATTTAGCTTTGAGATTTGTTTGCTGAGTATTTTTTGGCCATGAATAGTAAGGCAGTTTTACCCATACAAGTCCATAGTATTGACCTGCCACACCAATGTAATATATCTTGTTTACACCATATGTGATGGGGACTGTAATAAGAGTGCTAAGAGCTAATGTTCAGTTAGTATAGAAGATAAAATGTACCCTATTGGAGCCTGTGTAAAGTACACTGCATTAATGCAGCCAGAGAGCTGATATGCCAGTCACTCCTAATTTGAAATTGGAATTATATAGTAACTGGCAAGTATTCCTTAGAATTAATTTTAAAACTTTTCATACTTTCATATTTTATTTCCATTCTAAAAGAAAGGAAGATAAGCAGCCTTTTAACACTTGCCTGATTGTGTAAGAGGGGAGCTGAACCCACGAATTACACTGTTCAGGAGCTTGCTGGAGAGACAAAGAATCAAAGACTTTGAGTTTCTCTTTCCTTGTTCAGTGCAGGAACCTTGCATCTGCAGCATGCCAATAGAAAAGTGTACATCCCTTTCTTAAATACCCCTATTGAAGGAGATGCCACCATCTCTCAAGGCAGAGATATCATTTATCTATTAAAATATTTCTAACCTGCTTTTCAATCAGTTTCAGACCCAAAGAAGTATATAGTATAAAATTTAAAACTCCTCCAAATAAGTAAACCTAAAACATAACCTTAAAATCTTGAAAGCAGGACAGTAGAGGAACAAGGGGGCTTAATCACACCATACTACTTGTTAAAGCATATGTAAAAGGCAAGCAGTGAAGGAGCTGAACTAATCTCTTTGGAATGGTGCCACAGAAAAGTCCCTGTCTCCACTAACTTTACCTCATTTGGTGAAGTGGCATAGCATTAAGCCTCAGATGACTATAATAATGTAAGAGCAGGTGCTTATGAAAGCAGGTGGTCCTTGGAATATTGCTGCCCATGTCTGTTTAAATATAAGAATAATAACTTTCTTCTTTGTGGGTTCTCTGCATTACAGGTAAGGTTTCTGCACCTGTGCACAGTCCCCATCAAAATTTTCTACAGCTAAAACTTTTTAGGTGGGAACCCCACCTCCATGCATTTCTAGAGGGATGCACTCCTATCCTTTGTCTCTTTCTCTTCAACTGTCATAGCTGCATATCATTGAGAGTATTCATCTGCTAAATTCCTGCTGGGGATGAGGGCTGGAGATTGAGCCGATTGTTAATAATTTATTTCATTTCATTTCATTTATTTTATTTCTAGCTGTCTTTTTATTGTCCTTTTCACTCCTTCAAGCAGTGTAGTATTTTTTTCCTTTTGCCTGGTATTATTTTTGTGAACCTCTTCCCATCCACAAATGTGCTTACTCTTCAAGTAAACTGCCAATGACAGATGGCAACAATCTCTGTTTTTTTCTAGTTGGGCAAAGGGAATATAGTAGAGCTGTGTACATATTGCCAAGAATTTACTAGATGAATATGGTATAATCCCATTTTCTGCCATTGTGTAGTGCTATAGGAGTGCAACCTACAATAGATAGACTCATTAAGACAAACAGAATTGCATATGGACCTGGCCCCACCAGTTGCTCTAGCATTGGTGCCATCTTTGCCAATTTTACCCTATCCATCATTTCTGACTGCTGCAATGATATGGACAGGTACCATTCCAGCCATTTACTCCTAGGTACCAGTTGACCCCATCAGATCACCCCATCCCAAAAAGGTACCAGATTACCCCATCCCAAAAAAGCCCAACTCCAGGCATCCCTCCCCAGTATCACAACTGTGAAAAAAATCAAAGCTAACAAATTAGGACTCTTGAATACTCCAATTGAACACCTACTGTTGGAGTTTGTCTAAACTGATATCATGGGACCTGTCCTCCCTTCTTTTCTCAGAGTGGCAAGAAACTAAGAAAACCTCTTTGTCTGCACTGCCAATGACCATAAAGATGGAGAACCTCTACCACAACTACATGAGGATTGTACCTTTACCTTTCAGCACCTGCCCCCAGTGTATATCATGTTCAATGCAGTCCCAGCATCTGTCATTTTCTAGTCCAGACATGGCAGAGCATCCTCAAAACTCTCTCTGCTCTGATTGATCAGGAAATACACATGCTGAATACTGCAGGAGAAAAACAACATTTCACTGCTATACTGCTTTACATCATGAATTACCAAGTGTGTACAGCCTGCTACCAGTTCTTCTTAGGTCAGAAGACTTCCTCTCAGCTCAAATATCTGTTATGTAACAGGAAGAAAATAGTATGACTGTTTAAGAATTAAACCATGGCCTTACCCAAGCAACACGCCAACATCCAAACATGTAGTAGTTTGCACAATAGAAGCATGTATTGCAGTGGTCTGCAGGACTCAGTGGAGGCTTTATCTTGTATTTAAGATATGCCTTTCAGTGAACGAGGGCTATTTAAATCATCGGCACAGGACACCTTAGATTATGGCAATAACCCTTTGTACGGCAGTCTGCTTGGTGCCTGGTATTGTTGATTTGCTTTTGGAAGACACATCACCTTGGCCTGGAAAACTCCGGCATGTTTCCTCTGGACTTTCTTGGAGAAACCGATCTCCACACGAGCGAGCTGCTGTCTCACCGCACATGCACGCCCCCACCTTGCCGCCCGTGTGTGTGCTCCGCCCCCTGCCAGCACCGCATTGCTGACCCATGCTCACTGCCAGCACCTTTCAGCTGGCCCCCTGTTGAAAAAGTGTGAGGACCACCGATCTACAGGGTATCAAAAACTGGGTCTGGCACTCCCTCAGTGTACTGAGCCTGGGGGCGTGGGCCATATGTTCAGAAAAATGGCCCAAGTCCACAGTTGGAAAAGTGGAGTTTCTGTTGACCACAGCTGCACCTGGAGAAGATGTTGGAGCAACACAGGATGTTGTCTTCATGTAAAAATCATAGTGCTCAGTGTCCAACAGTGAAGGAGGACTGTAGAGCACAGTGGCAGGAGAGCTAGTTCAGTGGTGGAGGCAGGTGGGTCTAGGAGTCCCTGAAGTTGGATGTGCAAAGAAAAAGGCAGCTGAAATCTTGGAGGGGGTGCTCCTCAAAAGGTTGGTGGCTTGAAGAATTGGTCCTGTTTCCTGTACAATTTGGGATAGTAGACAGGCCAAAAGCAAGGGTTGTAGGTGGGACATTCGTGGTGGTACCCCCACAGGGCATAGAACAATGAATCTGGTAGGATGGAGTAGGTAGGTCCCCTGTCCCAATCCAAGATGGGGGAGTGGGAGCAGCCTCTTTAGATTTGGCATGGAGATATACCAGTGATGGAGCAGCCGGTGACTTTGGAGTCAGAGCCTTGGAAGGGGCTTGGACAGGTGGTGCATCTCAAAATCTCCCTTCAACACTGAGGCTGAGATGAATTCAAGCCTCAGCACAGGTGGCTCTGGTTCCATATCCTCTTCGGTGTATGACATCTAGTGGTCAGGACTTACCAAGTTCTTCCTGGCACTTTTTGTGTTCGGCAGCCAAAGTTTCTGCTAACTTTGCCTCCTTGGCCTTTCGCCAGTTCTTGATCTTTGTCAGTTTCAAGGACTTTCCCAGATTTGGCAAGGGTACCTGGCTCATGGCTGATGGTTGTGGCTCCTCTTGCAAGCAAGGATGCAGACTCAGAGGTCAGTGGGAGAGGTTGCTCTGGGGGTTTGAGAGATCAGTCACTCTAAGAGCGTTATTCCACAGCTCAGTTCAGAGGCCGTCAGCTTGACATTTGGTAAAAGTTTGTCAGTGAGGATACTGGTTAAATAAGTGCCCTCACCCAAGCAAAGTAGGCATAAAGAATGCTAAGACAGAAGGGAACTTTCAGTGCCATTGGAAACATTGACACAAGAAAAATTGTACAAAAAGAAGACTAGCGATTGGAATGGATAAGGAAGAAGTATATGCATGTATGTATACATATATAGTTTGGGAGGAAGGAAAAAGAGATTGCAGTTCAAGAAAAAAAGATCAGAACATCATGAAAGTATTAAGTTATAGAGAGTTTGTGAGGGAGGAAAAAATAAAGTATTAGAGAATACAAAAAAACTGCTTGAATAGTTCACATCTAGAGAGTAAAAGAACTTTCTTAGGTACTACAGCACAACATAGATGCCATATAGACATGCTGTAAAAACAGGCTAAATGAGAGAAAATAATAGGTGAGAGCTTCAAGATGTTTTCAGGAAACCAGTAATAAGAAAAAAACATTGTTATATCTACAGTTCCATTTGTTCATCTTTAACCTTAAATAACTGCTGTTCTTCATACCTACTCAGTCCTAAACATGAAAATTCCAATTACTTAACATTCATATGTAATTACTATTCCTTATGTTGAAAACATTAATATTTTATAAGAACTGTCTCCATTCAAACTTCCTCACTGGGAAGCTCTTCTGATTTCACTTTTTCTAAAATAAGTTTCCTCTTACTGAAGGTCTATTTCCTGCAGAAATAATTTTCATATTTAAGAGATGATTTTGAAATATTGCATATATAGAAACACTATTTTGGAATAGGTCACAATTTTCATAGTTTGTTTAACTAGAGATTAAATGCTGACACTATTTTGAGAACTTTTTGTACGTCACGGTACATAAGAAATCAAGTCATCCATCCTTCAAGCATGTCAAATTCTTATCTGCATTTCTGGTATATTTAAACACAAATATATTATTAGGGATCTCAAGTGTAAAACATAAATAATATGCATAGGTTTAGTCCTTGTGTGATTGCAGGTGTTGATGGCTTTTGTTAGGAAATCACAAATCTTACATTTTGTCAATAAAATCATTCTCTTTAAAATTTCAATCACATCTTTCTAAGGTAACATTTACCTCCTCACATCTTTAGCAGCTATCAGACATGACATGGGACATATTCATTGACCCTAAAAATTTTCATCAGAATCATGCACTGAAAGGGGGCAGCCCCAGCCAGACAAGAGGCTCATTTCAATTTTAACGGCTGTAATTAAAGGTTAATTCACTGAGTCAGGATTAACGAGGAAAGTACAAATGATAGGCAAGCAGCTGCCTTTATAATACAAGATTAGAACAATGCAATTACAATAAGAATTAGAAAAAATCAACTTCCTGAAAGGTTCTGTAATGAATGAACTGCATTTCTCTGCTGTTAATTGTACTACTTAAACATGAGGATGGAACAACAATAATTTTATTGTAATATCTCTTGATCAACAATGCTAACAAAATGGTTTTCTAAACACAGCAGTCAGAATTGATACATTGAACATGCTATGATCATTGACATTAGTTGAAAAGAGCAGTGATTACTATTATGTTATATTAAGCTTCCTAAACTAATATAGACATACGCACAAAACAACATTAATTTTAAGTTGCTTTGGGATGATGTGAATATTTTTGTTCTCTGTTTTATTCACAAAACACTTCTGTTTTGTGTTTGTTAATATAATAAATGAAGGTAGAATGAACTTGCTTGTGAACTTGCTGTGTTAGATTTCTGTAAGAGTATAAACTGATAAAGGAATAACAGTGCTTTATTGAAGAACGGGGAGATGTCATGTGAAAAGGTACAGTGTTTCAGATATTCTGTAAAAGATCCTGATTTTGAAGTAAACTGAAATATTACAAGGTATCTTAGGAAAGAATGCTATCTTTTTAAATGGGCCATTTACCACTGACATCTTACAATTGGTGACATATATGTTACATTTTGTTTTTTGTCAGGTGTCATAGGATTCAGAAAAGTTGAAAGCATTTGTGCTTATAGATGCAAAGAAAATAATTGTACATCATAAATAGAAGATGTGGAAAATTACCCCTTAAACTCAGTTTCCATGGAAAGAATTTGCATTTTGTCGATCGTTTTTGAGGTGCTTTAGGATAATAAATCTGTATGCTGGGATACATAGGAGTATTGATGCTTAAAACCTAATAATCCGGTAGCATCGTCCTAGGAAAAATATATAGTGCTGTTTGAAGATTATGTAGCCCATGATATGAAAAGCCATGAGCTCAATGCTGCTATTGCTGTGGAAATGGATTGTAAGCATAATATAGATTTGCTTGATAAAATTATTATTTTTGCTAAGCAGATGACAGCTGGCAAATCTGTCTCTTATATGCTATAAGTCACAAAAATGTATGGATTATCATTGATATTTAGATCAACCCATATTGTTTGTCTCAAACACTGGACCAACATGCTGTTTCTTACAATATTTTGACATTAAGAGCTCCAAGAAATAGTATTTAAGCTGCTTTTGGAACGGGCAGTTGATAACTTTTCATTCATAATTAGCTCATAGAGAACCGAGAGACATTGCAGGGAAATTGAACTGTCAGTGGGTAGAAACAAGCATTTGACCTCATCACATTGAGTGGGGCCCATCATAATTTGTTCATTTGGTGCCCATCAGCCCAGCCTCATCTCTCATACGGCACCTCGCTGACCTTCCCTCTCCAATTCCACTCAGTTCAGCTTTAATTATGACTCTGCAGACCCGAAGAAATATTGCAGCTTGCTCTCAAAAACCCTGAACTGCCACTCACCAAAAGATTGGTTTTTAACAGGTAATAAATGCCCAGAGGAAATGGTGCTGTGTCCCACACAGAGCACACTAGCTCCTTTGGAGATTTTCCTGTCTCTCAAGTATCCTAATGCCTAGTGGATTTTTTTAAAATTTCAGAAAGAACATATTATGCTTGTTGACAAGCTCAGTGTTGTGCAAAAGTGATGTAATATTTACTGAAGGTGTGGGGGGTTTTGTTGTAGCTAGAATAATTATTCTTATATTTAAGAAGCCAGAGAATTGTAGCTGGAAGTTTTAATTGATTTCTCATCAACTGGTAACCAAATATAGCTTTAATCACAGACTAAAAGTTGCCCTTCAATTTAACCAGTTGGCCTTCACGTTTGAAGGCATACCATTGTAGTAGTCATGTAGGCATGTTGGCTACTTCCTCCTAGTGCAGATCAGATGAAAATAAACTTTAAGTGTATTTTACTTTTAATTTTGTATCTAAACAGCAGTATTTCACAGTCTTATGTGAAATCACAATACCTTATTTTAATATTAGTGGTCCAGTACTTCCACCATACTGCTGAGGTTTGATCCAGTTCATTTTGAAACTACTTTAGCTCTAGCAACATACAGTAAATGGGAATAGTCAATGTTTTAGATTCCCAGCTTAAAAATATTAGATAGTCTTTCTTTTAAACATTGATAAATAACTTAAAATTTGATTAAAGTTCTTGATTAAAACAAGCTGTGGTCTTCAGTATCTCCAGAAAGACTGTTCTATTGATATTTATAATGTGAATTAATTTAAATATAATTAATTAAAGGCAAGGTGTTCAACTAAAAGATATTGACAACCCTAAAATTAATAGTACACAATTGAAGAATTAACAGTTTGAAGTTTTTAAATAATTTGGTTAGGTTCTGTAAGGAAAATGGGAAGCACTGTGCTACCATCTCCAACAAATGTGCATTTAATTTTTTACACACTTAATCATGTTCTAATAACCAAATTTTGCTTTATTAATTGCCTTGAAATCGTTTAGTAGAACTATACTTCACCATTGCTCCTTGTTCCAAGATGGGTTTCTTCAATAACCTTTGAGACACAGATTTGAGAATGTACTACCAAAAAATCCAATGCTGCCTCTAAAAACATGTCTCTGAAGACTCCAAGGCAAATAAAAGTATTCAAAACTACAGTGTATCCTTGTAGTGAATGTGAAACTGTCAGCAGGATTTTCAGGTCATTTGACAAAAAGGATACAGGTGCAGTAGCTAGCAGTGAAGGTGACTGCTATTTTCATCAATCACTTTGCCTTTCTTTAAGTTGATACATAATGGACCCCTTCAATCAGCTTCCTTGTTCTTTGTCACTTGTTTAGGAAAAAGAAAAAAAGGTAGAAAGGCTGGGCTTTAAAGTCAAGGTTAAAAAAATGAATTGTGTCTTATTTACACAATGTAGGAGAGATGTCAGTGTGAGCAGGGGCTCTTCATAAAATGTTGAGTTTGTCAATTGGTGATAATAGTCAGCCTGAAGCTTCCTTCCTTGGACAGACCTTGATGCTTGTGAGTTCACACAAGTTTAGAATTAAGAGGTTGCTCAGTGGCAAAGTTGAAAACATGTTAATAAATGTAGACTTTATTTTTTGAAATAAAGTTTCCTAGTTAGTGATACCCAGTGCTAACTGTTTAATAACAGGAAGGAGGGAGGGAGAGACTTGTTTCTATGGAGGCCCTGAGCTTTCTAGACAGTGTAATGCTTTCCTGATGTACTGTTCATAATTTCATGTAGAAAATATTGTAGTCCTTTAAAACTTACTCAATAGCAGCAGCAAGCAGCCTTTTTGAGATATGGGCACATATGACAATTTAAGAAACTGTCCTGTGCACCATAATGGGAAGTATGGCAAAGTACAAGTTTCCTGCCAAAAGGCTGAGTGCAAGGCAAGTGTGAGCTAAGCCCTAACATGCTACATAGCTCCTTTGAACCCACAGTTTTCAGCACCAACAAAAAAAACCCTATTTCACAGTAATCATAGCTGCTCATAAGAAGCAAATGGAAGGGGAGGATATCTTGGCAGGGTTGCCTTTGTTCCCATGGTACTATGTTGTCTATATTGGGCAATACCAGTGCTTTTTTTGTAAAAAAAAAAAAAAAGATGCCAGAACTCACATATGGGGTCACACTTTTACACTAAAAAAAGATTTTCAATTCAGCAACTTTTTTTGAAATAAAGAACTTATCTACCTCTTGCATGTGGCCAGTCACTCTACACACACAGAAGTACTCAGCACGCAGTAAGCACTCAGCACGCGACCACACGACCGATCCCAAGCTGAGCAGCGCCCTCACAATCAGTGCCAACACACAAGCAGCCCACAGGCACTATGTTAATGATTTTTGCTGCCAACCTGCTATGCCCTACAGGGCGATTCACAATCACTTGGGAAAATCCATCAGAAAAGGGTGCCGGACTGTTCCGGTGTGTTCTATGACAAAAAAACCCCCCCTGGGCAATACTATCTTGCCTATGTTACACAAAACCTCTTCCTTTGCACCAGAATACACTGTGAATGAGACACCTTATCTACATGTAGGAAAGAAGCCCTCAGATCAGTGCATGAACTTGCATGTTGGTATGTTCAATAAATAGTTTCATAGTCAAATATTCCACAAGATGTGTAAGTTGCTTTGGAACATATAGTGCATAATTTGTTCATTTTGAATTTTATACAGAAAAGAGATGGCAATTATTTTTATGAAGACGTCAAACAAAGGTCAGCATATTTAGCATAGATCCATTTAAATCAATTGAACTTGAGTTAATCACATCTGAAGACCCAGTGATTTCAATGGCTGTGTTCTAATGTTGACCAAGTCTGAATCTAGTACAGTTTGACCCATCAGTATAATAACTGTTTGCCCTGATTCTCTCTCTCTCTTGACTCTTTAGGCTGCTTGTTGAATGGTTTCACGTTTTCCTTGCAACATCTTGCCACCTTTTCTGTCTTCTAGTTGTGAGCAGCAGAATGGGTATGAGATAACAACCATTGTACTGGGGGACAAAATCCCTAAAATAATGAAAGCCCTTCATTCAGAGATGTGTTTAATGCTTATATTCCCTGAGTTCACCAAATTCACCCAAAATCTCATATTTGGTTAAACCTTTCCAAAGGGCTGGGAACCTAAAATTTAAGTGATTGAGCTGAAACTTCAAATGCGAAGGCTCTGCGGTCCCAGGCTGATCACTGAAGATGGGCCAAGGAAAGTAATCTAATGGCAGTTGAGTGCTAGGGCTTGTCAATGCCTGCCTGAATAACTTACAGAAGATGAAACATGATTGATTGCAGTTTCACTGCCCAGATAACTATGGATAAATGCAAGTATATATGGTGCAAAAAAAATCCATGGAAAAATGAGCATCAGAAAATTTTCCACTCCATATCACTGAACAGTAATAGTAGACCTATGTAACAGGTGCCCTGGCATCTGTGCATCTCTCTCATGTATACGTGTGGAGAGAGTTATTAGACATCTGCAGAATCCTGGATCTGAGATGAAGGTGTCTAAGGACATGAACAGGCCCCAGTAAAAGCCAAATATTGTCCTTACTGCTTGGTCAAACTGGAGAATATTCTTCTTACATGCTTCCCATAGGAATCTGCCTGAAAATTATATTTCTATGGTGGGCATTTTCTAAGCACCCAAACACAGCTTCCATATAGCTTGAAGTGCCTGATCTTGTCTAATCTTGGAAGCTAAGCAGGGTTGGGCCTGGTTGAAAACTGGGTATGTTTCTTGAAAGTTGTGAACCACCCAGAGAGCTTCAGCTATGGGGGTATAGTAATGTAATAAAATAACAACAGCATTTGGTGTTAATAGCTACTGGGGATGGGGCTATTCCTGTGGTGATACCTCAGCTTTGAAATGGGGTGATACCTCTTTAAAACAAGGTGCCAGGTTAAAACCTTGCTATTTTGGCAAGCATATATGGATATATGGGTTACTAATTTAGTTGTATCTTGTTTTAATAATGTTTGCATTTATTGTTACTCTGTTTGATTTTTCATTTTAAAAATTGCCTTGTGACCTTATGACTGAAATATGAGATTAAAATGTTTTAAGAAGGATTGCCCTTCAAAAGGGTTTATCTTTGAAGGGCTTAACAAAATTTCTGCATTGCTTCAACAAGATCAAATACTGTATGTTGCTTTTTTAAAAAAAAGTTCTTTTGCTAGTGGACAACTTTGCAAGTTAATGACTGATTCAGCAAAGTGCTTAGGCATATTTATAAAATGAAAGCATATAACTAGGCTCAGTGAAGTCAACTGTTTCAAAAGAAATCTGCTGCATATGACAGGCCTTAATATTCATGAGGAGTACTCATATTTCAAAGCACTCTGCTGGCACAAGCCACATTCGCATTAGTGCACCTCACATTTCCAGGGCACTTGGAGGATTTGGCTTTATGAAGTATGTCAGTGTAAAGCTTTCAGCTACATCTTGTAAAAACCAGTTGTAATGTTTTAGGAAATATGGTGAATCATATTTCATTCTTGTATTTAAAAGATGATATTTTAAGATGCATATGCACTATTTCAGCAAATCATTTAATTACTTAAAGATGTAAATACATTATGGGAATTCTTTGTCATGCGAAATGACTAAAGGCCTGGATTTTGTCCTCTTTGTTTCAGTTGCTTCTTACTCAACGCAAGCTGCATGTGAAGCAAAAAAATAGAAAGCAATTTTAATATACTATTTGTTAAAAAGATTAAAGATTACTTTAAAAGGGGGTAACTTGTCTGAAAATGTCATTTATATAAAATTTGAAATGATAATTGGAGAGAGAAATAACCTGCTACTCTTTTCCAGATTTATTTTGACTCTTTGGGCCACACTAGTTTTATGCCTGTTTGAAATCACAAATATTAAACTGACTAAATAATAGTGTTGACTTTGAAAGACCACTATTGATGTATATATGGAAATTAATCAGTAGTTGTATATCAAAGCTAAATATTATTATACAATAAAAATGAGCTTTGTCAGTTTGTTTGAATTTCTGTTGGGTAATGAATGCAAGATGAGGGTATCTCTTTTTGAGGTGAAACAATGACAGCTCCTAGAAGTTATTTCTTATTATCGTATTTATTATGAATGAATATTTTTATTGCATTCATACCCCTCTCTCTAGCCAAAAAGCTTCTTGAGTGGCTTATGTGGAATAATAAGGCAGTTCCCGCCCATAGACTTACTATCTAAAAACATGATATACAAGGGGAAAGGGGGGCGGGTAGGAAAAAAGGAAGCTCAGGCACTAATTACTCACACCTATAGAAACATATGTCATTATATTCTCCCGAGAGACTGGATTGACGGTCACTGTTTGGTTTCTTTTAATTTTAAAAGATGTATGGGAGATCCTCCATAATCCATAGTTTAGGGGTTCCAGTTTCTCAAAATATCCAATAACCTTTTATTGTGCTCTCATTGGATCCGCACTGAATCATGTATAAAGTAATCTAACTGAAGTAAGAGGAACTTAGAGCTATCAGAAGTGGTGACTAATTTTTCCCATTGATTCCAGTGAATATACTCCAGTTAGAATATTTTATTGCATTTTTGCTGTTATAAATCACAAATAATTCTGGGCTTAAAAGTTGCTAGAAAATGTTTGTTTATCTCACAGAGCTACAATTCTCAGAATGGTTCTCTCAGTCAATCTCTCTCAGTCAATTCTCTCAGTCAATCTCTCTTTCCCAGGAACTCTGCAAACTGTACCTTTCTGTGTGAGGAACAGGTGTCCACTAATGACACTTAGTATACTTGGGGAAGTGATGCTCAGATTCCTTGGGGAAATAATGACTGTTTAAAGTGGAATAAAGATGTTCTAAATGTGTGGTATGAATGCATGTGGGATGGGAGGTAGTTTTTAGTGTCACAGAAGCAAGCTGACAATATGTTGCTGTGTAGCAGAGACTGACCATGAAGGAAAGTATCACAGAAAACAAACATACATGCCTCACAGGCCTCTCCAGTTAGATGGTTCCCTGGTCTTGTTGGGAAATGTTGAAAAAACACCTCTGTTAAATTCGGGACTCCAACACAGTGGCAGCTGCCAGACACAAACAACCAAAATTAAGTATCTTGAGAGGCAGTGAGGGAGAGACTGTGACCCTGGTTTCAGGGATCCAGCAACCCCCTTAAGGGCCTCCACCAAAATAAGTAGGGTTGCTTCAAACCCGCAAAGACCCCCTCCACTACACCCTTGCCCATAGGCAAAGGTGTCAGGCAAGGGTGTATTTTATCTCCTTCTCTCTCTGTATGCAGAACATAAGTAAAGCTGGATTAGAGGAAGAAGTAAAAATTGGTGGAAGACACATCAGTAATTTAAGATATGCAGATGACACTATACTACTGGCAAAAATCAGCAAATGACTCCTGCTAAAAGTGAAAGAAGACAGTGAAAAAACAGGACTGCAGCTGATTATTAAGAAAACAAAAATCATAAGTACAGAAGAAATACAGAACATTGATGTCAACACTGAACAAACTGAAATAGTGAAAGATATTGCATACATTGGCTCAGTCATCAATTCAAAGGGAGACTGCAGCCAAGAAATTCAAAGAAGACTGAAACTTGGAGGACAGCATTGAAAAACTAGAAAAGATAATCAAGTCTACAGATGTTTCACTGGAGACCAAGTCCAAGATTATCCACACTATTGTATTCCCAATCATTATGTATGGGAGTAAAGTTGGATAGTGAAGAAAGCTGACCAGAAGAAAATTAATGTATTTGAAACATGGTGCTGGAAGAGAGTTTTGTGAATAGCCTGGACCATGCAAAAGATAAGCAAGTGGGTCCTAGATCAAATCAAGCCAGAGTTTTCCTTTGCGACAAAAATGACAAAACTTAGGCTGTCATATTGTGGGAACATCATAAGATTGTACTTGGAAAAGACAATCATGCTAGTGAAAGTTGAAAGCAGCAGAAGAGAAAGACCAAATGTGAGATGGGTTTATTCCATAAAGAAAGCCACAGCCTTGAATTTACAAGCGCTGAACAGGGCTGTCATGGATGGGGCAATTTGGAGAGCTTTCATTCATAAGGTCATCGTAAGTCAGAGATGAGTTGACGACACATAACAAAAAACATGACTTATATTGCAGCCAGAACCCATATTACATAATGAAATAATTACCC